CCCCTCCCTCCAAGCCGCCAGCGTTAGTTGGACACGCGGCGTGCCGGCCGCACACGACAAGGGAGGAGGAACGGGAGGGAAAAAAATCATGGCGGCGCAGCGCGTGAGCTTACGCTTGCTTCACCATTTTTTTATTACCGACCCGAAAGGAGGGAAAAGGGAGGGAAGATGAAGGGGAGGAGGCCGCTAGTGGCCGCGGGCTGGCTGGGCTGCCTGGGCACTGCCTGGGCACTGCCAGGGCACGCCGCCATCTTGCAGTGGAGTGGTCTCGAGGGAGCGGCCTGGCGCCTGGCCGCCGCAGCAGCGCGCTCGGGAAACCGATTCAAACATTCACCCACGTGCTTCTGCTGTTGCAAAGAAAAATGACTCATGACCAATTGAAAAAAAAATGTAATACAGTAAGAGTGCGATGGGGAAAGTCGCAACTTCATTTCTCAAACACTTCAAAACAAAGTGGATGTTTTCTTTTATTTTTATCTTTTTGAACGAACGTTGACGGCAAAGTCAAATTCAGCATGGAGTCTGTGTCAAAGTACGAACAGGGAGTCCTTTCACATTTTCAAATTAGTAAGAGCACGCGCGGTGCAAAAAACTTTACAACATCGTTTGCTTCCTGAGAGAAAAGTCAGTTCTATGTTTTCCCAAATGATGGGAAGGCTGTTCTTTTACCTGATTGTCGCTACTTTTTCGTCCTTCTGCCACCGTTCTTGTGTAGTGGCGGCACCCCGCCGTCCACCCCACGTGACGTGTGCGGATAATGGTGTGGGCTCAAAGCGTCATGTACAAATGGGGACCTTAGCAGGGCGCCTCGCGGACGCCATGGACGCCATGAAGGCCCCAGCGCGCTCCAGCGTCCATCATTGGAGATTTCCCACTTAATCCAGCGGCCATATAATCCGCACAGAAGACTGAGCCGCCCCGCCCCGCCCCGCCACGCCCCGCCACGCCCCGACCTGCCACGTACACCTACGTGATAGATGACTGGTCCGGCAGATCAGGGCGCCGCCGTCCCCCGCCCCGCCCCGCCACGGCCACCCCTCGACGTGTAGGGAGGAATGTCGTGGACGGGGTCATTGGACAATTCGCGCAGCGGCCAGTAGAGACATAGTTAAAAAAGGGCGGGCATTTTGCGAGCATACTTAATCTGTCAGAATAGTACACCCTAGCGAGGGAGGCCGCCAAAGCAGTCACAATTGCGTTAGAGGTTGTAAAAAAACGTTCGGCAAATTTTCTCTATAAAGTACACAAGAGTACTATTTCTTAACGATTATTAACCGTTCTTAACCATTAAATTTTTAAAGGATTTCGATTCTGCTGCCTTTTTTAGCCATTGGCTCAGACCGTCGACTTGCTAGTTAAATAAACCCCTCCAAAGGACGGAAAAAAGCCCAAAAAAAAATAGATGAGTCAGTGACTGATCTCATTCACACCTGCCCCCTGGCTGGACTTATTTCCTTTGTCTTTTACTCCTATTCCCCCTTTTTCTGTCGCCCCTCTCGAAATTCGCCGGCTGCGATTTTTGTGTTCGGCCTCGCGGCGACGCTCTGTCGCCCTCCTCCTGTCTGCGAATCGCTTTTGATTCGATCGCCGGGGGCGCAGCCGTCAGCCAGTGTGCCGCCCTCGTCGCGGCCAGAAGACTGAATTCGAGAGTCGTTTTGGTCGCTCTGTCTCCCTCGCACTCATGGGGCGTCCCCTTTTCGTGCGAGAGAGACAGAACGACTCCCGGAATCAGTCTGCAGAGCAAGAGTCGAGAGCTGACGAAATGACACGAGCGAGCTAATTGCCGTAATCCCTTCGTTTCAAGAACGGAATCACTGTTCTCAATTTGCTGCCCATCGAGAGACGTGCCACGCCACCACCCCCACCCCCTTTCATTCACACATGCACACCCACACCAACGCGCGGTATAAAACTCCTGATCGTTTTACCCTCCTTTTTTTTCTCTCTTCTCTTTTTTGAGGTTTTGTCGTCATTTTATATTTTTCCGACGCCTGAGGCGCGAAAAACGACTGATGGTGGTGTGATGTGTGTGTGTGTGTGCGTGTGTGTGTGTGCGTGCGTGTGCGTGTTCCTGTTTGATGGGCCTTGACTGGCATTTCCGGTCAGGGATGAGTTGATTATGATACGTTATCCGGCCCCGATTTTATTTGCGAACCGCGTTCGGGATTGGCGTCCAAATTGATTGGATTGTTTCCGGTCGTCTCGCTGCACCGCATTATTCCAGTGCACCTCGACCTTGGCCAGGGTCACTCTGCCCAAATTAATTTGGACACTCCATGGATTTCCTCATGAACCTCCAGGCTACTTAAGTACCTTAGTATTGCGAAACATCTGAACTACAGTAATAGGCTTATTAGAGTGCACGTTTTGAATGTTACAAAATGGCCCATATTTACTGACTCAAGATTTTTCCAAGGTACTTTCAACAGTGTACCCATTGGTCACAGGTCTCAGACGATCAATTTATATCAATATCCCATGTAGGTGAAGTGAGAACAGATTAACAGTCCAATACGGCCAACTGCCCCTCGCGTGTTGTTTTTCTTTGGTTGGCAACACGCCATGTAACAGCTGATAACTAATGCGCCCGCCGCTCTGGCTATTGAATGCCAATTTCGGGGTCGGAATGTTGGCAACGATTTGCGGTCCTTGAAGACTGCACTGCATTGGGTGCAGGCTGTGTGTGCGGTCACGACGTACGAGTGTGAGTGTGTGTGTGTGGTCTGTGTGCGAGAGAGAAATAGAAGTAGAGCGACAGGGCATTTGACTGTGTTTGTGAGATCCTCTCTCTCAGTGTGTGAGTGTGTGTGAGTGAGTGTGTGTGTGAGTGAGTGTAGGGGCGCTAGAGACAGGGCGGGTAATGGCATTGTAGGATTGAAAAGATAGGACTGCCGCGGCATAGACAATAATTAGGCGGGGGATGCATTAGAATAGAATCTAATTGATAGACGGGGGGATAGACAGGCCCAAGGGCGGTGCGTGGCGCACGGTGGAGGCAACGCGTTATGGCTCAAAATGGCGGGTAATTTACAACGGGCACCATCAGTCGCACAAGATTGCGGCGTGATATTTCATTGGCGAGCCAGATGAGGAGCCGTCACATGGGGCCTGCTGGCCGGCCTGCCGGGCCCGTGGGCCGAGTCCCAACGGTTGCCCTGTCTCTCTCGCACCCCTGCGAGACGACCCGCGGGTGCGAGAGAGACAGAGCGACGCGGCCCGGAGTCAGCCTCCTGGGCCCACATGCGGCGAGGTGCGCCATCAAGATTATTGCCCGCCATTGCGAAGCTTAAGCCCTGCCTTTCGAATGGCCCCTCCGGCAGCTTGGCTCTGCGAGAGAGACAGAGCTATCCGGCGTATAATAAATGACAGCGAGAGGGCTACCTTTTTCGGCACACGCGCATCGGCTCGGCAAGTGACAGGTCCTGGCGAACTCGGAAAAAAAGGGCTACTCAACGTATTTGTTAGTTGAGATCACAACGAGCAACAGCAAGTATACTGCTGGCAAATTTTCGGAAAGGCGGTATCAACTTGGGCAGCTGATTATATTGCAGCCGCGGTCCTGAAATCTCTTTGGAGTGTAAATTTTAGTAGACGTCTTTTTTTTTTTTTTTTTTTTGGGGGGGGGGGGGGGGGTTCACACAAAAAAAATACTAATTGTGGACCTTTTTTAAAAAATAAATAATACGGATGGGGTGTTGAAAAAATAAAACGCCCCGAAAGGGTTGAAGCAGAAGCGAGGGGAATGTCTGTACTTTGTCCCGGACTTCATTTATATGCAAGTCTGTGTCCTCAAGCATGGCGCCCACGCTTTGGCCCTCCCCAAGCGCGCGCGCGCAAACACGCACACTCACTCACACGCAGAATCTCTCTCGTACACACACAGTGGCGGCGGCTACTTTTTCCTAAAACAATTTCCTGGCTCGTTAAAATTGCAAAGTGGAGTTCTTTGCTCGCAAACTCAGAATGAAATCCGTCCGTCCTCCCTTCCTCCGCCTAAACCACACACACGCAGGCACGAGCAAGGCAAATCTCCTTGCAAAAACAACGAGGGAGAAAGACGAGCAAAGCAAAAACAAAAAATTAAAAAAGGGTTGGCAACTTGGAGCTACACGAGGGGGAAGATGGGCGCTGAGCTCTCTCCTCTGCTCTTCTTCCAGATTCCCGCCCACAAAAAAAAAAGAAAAACGAACGCGAGAGCGAAAACGAGCAGAGGGAGCGAAATAAAGTAGCAAGCCTGCTGAGGATCGATTTCCCTTTAAACTCTTTTTATTGCCGTGGAAGAAAGCAGGGGCGCCAACTTTTGCGCCAACGGCAATGCCGAGGCAATGCTCTTCGCAGCGCGCGCATATTTCTTCCGTTTTTTCTTTCCGTTTTTGCTTTTATCGGCCCCCTATGCTTGCCGGTGCTGCAGCGAAAAAGAACGTGGCTCGGCGCGAGGTGAATATAAGAGAAAGGAATGGCTGGCAACACTGTTAAAACGGATATGAAAATTTATAACCCATTTGTTGTGAAATTTAACAACAGCGGTATGAAATTTCACAACAGGCAGCATTTCATAACATTTTCATAACATTTGTCACAACATGGCAAACTTTTTCATTTCGTGTGTGTTATGAGAATGTTATAACCGTCCCCCCACCCCCCTCACGTCACGCTCAGGACCCTCAGGACGCTGTCAGGATCCAGGATCCGGCAGCTCGCCCGACGAAACGTCAACGCCAGTTTCTGTGTATGTCTGATTATGTGTTCTCAAAACTTTAAGGTTACATAAATTGGAAACCTATTTTGCGGTTCAGCCTCCAAATGCCTTACATTTTTATCTTGATCCCTTGTTTCAGATCTTAGCCCCATTTAATTGCGTCTAATGTGGTTAGGTTATGGTTATTTGGTTATTTCTGAAGATACCTTACAAAAGTGAGTTTTGGAGCAATTCTACTTAACACCTTAATGAGGGACATGCCATGAATTAAATACAATTTTTTGTTTCTTAGGAATTAATCATGGATGAATTTCACTGCAAGTTCTGCATGGACAAATTTTCACAGTTGAAGCAATATTTGTGTCATCTGAAGCATCATAGGCACGTTTCTGAAACATTTCCATGTGCACTAATGACATGCTCAGAAGTATTACCATCTGAAGGATCTTTAAGAAATCACTTGTTGCGTAGGCACAACATTCGAGTTACTTTGTTACGAGAGCGAGCAGCCTACAATGCACTGGATGCACAAGGCAAGATTGCATGTAATGTTCCTTCATGTGTCCAAGAATTTGATTCCTTTTCTAAATTAATGAGTCATCTAAGAGACCACATTATAGGTGGGTATGCTGTAAAGTGTCCTTCTTGCAACAAGAGGTATTCAGTCTTTGGTTCTCTAAAAGGTCATGTCTTCCGGAGTCATCAGTGGAAACTGCCGAGTGCAATAAGTGAATGTGATCCCTATGGCACTGATGATACTGACAGTACTTTTGTTAATTTTGATGAAGAGACTCAGGATGTGTGTGCCTCTGAGGCAAATTTAAGTCGTCCTAATCATGAAATGTGGCTGCGAGCCATGGCAGAATTTTATATGACATTGGAATTTAAATATCTTGTACCCGCAAGAACTGTTCAGGCAATTTCCTGTGAAATGCACAGTGTTCACCGTAATGGTATGTCCACTGTGTTGGCTATCATGGACAACGAATCTTTGTCCAATGAGGAGAAATACGCAAAGATGAGAGAGGTTATTGCTAAATTTGAAAGCGGCTTTTCAGATCTGCGCAGCTCTCACACTAGAAATTTGTATTTCAAACGGAATTTCATGTATGTGGCCCCTACAAAAGTTGGCAAAATCTTCCATTATGTACCCATTCTAAAAACTTTGCAAATGATGGTGGCTACTCCATGCTTGCAAATTGACCTTTGTTCACCTACAAGTTCTGGAAGAGACATTTATACTGATTTTTATGATGGTTTGCTTTACAAAACAAATCTGTTCTTTAGAGAGAATAGAAAAGCTTTCTCTGTCATACTGTACCAGGATGGTTTTGAGATTTCTTGTCCAATTGGCCCTGCCAAGAAAAAGTACAAGATGATAGGAATATATTTATCACTGGGTAATATCCCTAGTCATATTCGTACCCACACTGATGCAATCCAACTGGTAGGTTTATGTCTAGAATCCAACTTCGATCATGAAAAAGTGTATGGTCCCATAGTTGCAGATCTTAAAAAGCTTGAGGAGGTTGGTGTTGAAATTCCTGGTCACGGGATGGTTAAGGGAAGCTTGATTTATGTTAGTGGTGATAACCTTGGGAGCCATGGTCTTGGAGGGTTCAATGAGTCCTTCAGCAAGAGTAGATATTTCTGCCGCTACTGTTTGGTTCCTCGAGCATCTTTCCATGCTGAGGAAGGTCATCTTGCCTCGTTCCCTGAGCGGACCAGAGAAAACTACAATGCATGCATAGGAAAGAGAGGGATTGAGGGTAGGAAAGGAATAAAATTTGAAAGCAAGTTTAATGAACTTCAAAATTTTCATGTCTGCGATCCAGGCCTTCCTCCATGCTTGGGCCATGATTTAATGGAGGGTGTGGCTGCCCATGATGTATGTCTGTTCTTCAAATATTTTGTGGACATCAAGAAGTGGTTTTCATATGATGACGTAGCCGCCATAATGTCAGCATTCCCTTACAGTGCAGCAGATAGACGAGACAAACCCTTGCCCCTAAAAGAAAAACACACTAAAGTTCATGGTGGCATGTGGCAGGTTTACAATTTTGTGAGGCTTGTTCCACTGATGATTCACCACCTCATTCAGGATAAAGCTGATCCAGTATGGAAACTATTCCTACTGATTGGAGAAATTCTTGATATTGTGTGTGCACCAACTATTCACAAATCTTACGTTGGTCATCTTCAGGTTCTGATTGTAGAGTACCTAGATATGAGGCGGCATGCATTCCCTCTGGTTCCTCTGCGCCCAAAGCACCATTATTTCACGCACTACTGCCTTATGATACTCCTGTTTGGTAGTTTGGGAAAAGTATGGACACTGCGATATGAAAGTAAACATCAATTTTTTAACAGGGCCATCAGAGCTAGCAAAAATTTTATCAACGTGACCTTCTCTTGTGCTGAAAGACACGAGTTGTTTCAGGCTTATGTAAGAGCTGGAGGTGGATTGCGCTGCGCTTTGAAGGCAGTTAAAACTTCCCCCTTTGTAGGGGATATGTATTGCAATGAAATTAGGGGTGCTGTGCAAAAAGTTTGTAATGGAGAACTGACACAGTGTCTTAAATATGAGATAAAGGGAACTGTGTACTCTAAAGGCATGATTCTGGCTCTGTCTCAATTGGCATACCAGGTTGATGTGTCAATGGGAAGAATTGTATTCATTTTAGAAGACAACGAAGGTAAAATATACTTCCTTGTTGAAGTGCTTCAATCTGAGTACAATCAGAATGTAAGGATGCATGAAATTGGCAACTTAATTGAGTACAATTGCATTGCTTACGATAATCTTGCAAGTCCCTTCCCTATGCATGCTTATAACTACAAGATGAAGTTGTTTGTGAAGTTGAAATATGCATTGGTTTCTGAACCAATGTCATTTGAAAACGATGTTGCTTAAGGCAAATTTTATTATTTATTTGTGTAAAGTACTAGTTTGAATAAAAGAATTAGCGAATATCCTGCTTTGATTTCTAAATAAATGCTACTTTTAATTTAAGTATTTTAGTGTGTGGTTTTCCTGTAAATACCCTACATTGCTTTTTAAATCCATCTCTGACTTGTCAAACAAGTGTCTGTTTTAAATGCAAGTGAATAAATGCTAGTTTTAATTTTAGTGTGTGGTTTATCTGTAAATATCCTGCATTGCTTTTTAAATCCATCTCTGACTTGTCAAACAAGTGTACTTTTTTAAATGCAAGTGAAGTTTTAATTTTAGTGTACTGGATTTTTCTGTAAATATCCTGCAATCTGTAATGTCTGCAATTGGTTTTCAAAACCATTGAATCATACATATGTATATTTTTCATAATGTCATCCATTTTGTTAGTGTCAATCATTTGTCATAGTGTCATCTCCACTCCTGTATTTGTGGCCTTGTGTGTTGTGCCTGCTTTTTGTTCCATAATTTGAGAACTGGCAATGGATCCCATTATCTCATTATCACCCATTAAACAAGAAGGATTCTTCGTGGTTGAAACGCAGGAGAGTGAATCCCTGAGTGTCTCAGGCCAAGCTGAAGCACCACATAGTGTAAGTTTAAAAATGACAGGTTAGGATCTTTGCATTTATATACTTTATTTACAAGAAGGATTCTTCATGAAAGCATTGTGTAGGTCCCAAATTTTTTCTTGTACCTTCTACGCCAAAAGAGATTACACGCCCAGCAGTGCGGAAGGTGGGATATTGCGACAAGTCATGAACTACTGGTGATCAAGTCTTACAGACCAACAAGTTTGAAACATCTCAAGATATGCTGTAAGTCAATTTACAAGTATTGCATGATTACACTTACAGGACTGTACATTAATTTCCTTTCTTTGCCTGCAGTGCCAGATTTCAAGTGTTGCGGTGAGCCGCATTGCCAGTTTTGGCCTTCGGTTGTTAAGCTCTTCTGTGACGAACACACTTTGGAAAGTGACTTTGCCCCAGCCAAGAGACGGAAATTGCCCGAATGGATCAAGACATGTATTCCCTCCCCCTCCCTTCAACCCTCCCCACGGTTCAGAAGTATGACCGTGTCAGAAAGGCGCAAGTATCTTAAAAAGGTGTTGTGATTGCAGAGTATTGTGAAGCAACTTGTGGAAGAATAAAGACCATGCAAGGAAAGCAGCTCATTTAAATGGAAGACCCTTCCCGCTCCCAGACACAAACACATGACAGGAGAAGGGAGACTGTGCTGGGGAAAGGCAAAACGGCAGTCACCCCATTTGTTTGGACCAATTATACCGCGCCTCTTTTCTCTACTTCTGCATTGACTATCAGTGTACCAAACGCGGTGTTCCACTGCACGTTAAAAGCAACTTCAGACCAGCTAGGAGAGATAAAATGTATGACTTGTGCCGTCATCTCGTAGAAGCACTTTGTTAAATGACACTTTGCTAGATAAATGGTTAGGACAGGCTTCCTCAAAGGTTCTTACGTGGTCCATGGCATTTAATTCTGTGCTGTCCTTATTCCTGAAATCCGTACTCTGTACAGTTCAATGTGTAACTGCTGTTGTGTCCCATAGGCTTACTTATGTTATGACTCCCTTTGCAGCAAAGCAGTAACATTACTGTGCCATGGGAGGAGAAAGAAAGTACAGGAAGAGAAAGAGAGGATACAGGAAGCATTTTTCAAAAAAAAAGAAAGGTTGCAGGCCCGGCAAAGGATCAGTATGTGATGTATTACTTAGCAACTGTAACATAACCTGTACATTTTGGTATAACTTTGACCGTTCCCTTTGCTTAGGTGAAGGCCGATGAACACAGTTCCACCAATGATTTTTGTGGTTTTGAGACCCCACCCTTCCCTCGCATCAGGGTACTTTCCCTTTTTGATGGTATAGGAAGTGCAATGGTTGCTTTAGAAAAGTTGAACCTCGATGTTGAATCGTATTATTCGTCTGAGGTAGATGAGAAAGCCATAAGGCTACTACGATTTCACTACCATGACAGAATACAAATGGTGGGACCCGTCGAAAACCTAACTGAAGAGAAACTGGCCTCTCTTGGAGTCATAAATTTATTATGTGGCGGTTCGCCTTGTTCTCAGCTGAGTTTGGTCAATCCTGGACGCAAAGGCCTCAATGGTACGCAGAATTTATGATTTCATGTGCAATGCTGCTTAATGTGATGGACTCGAACTGTCACTCTTGCTGTTGCAGATCCTTCTTCCTCAGGTTACCTATTCTTTGATTATCATCGAATTCTGCAGTATCTGACTAAATCAGCAGAAGAAAAGGGCCATCAGTTTTACTGGCTTTTTGAAAATACCTCTTCTATGGAATTACAATGCAAAGAACAAATATCAAGGTACATATTTATGAATCTCAATTTACTCATCCCATTATTAAAAATTAAATTGAACAAATTAATGTGTAAATATCTGTCAATTAATCCTCTTTATTTTTCTCCCCCACCCCCTTGCAGGCTTCTGCAGTGCCCACCTGTAGTCCGGTGTGCCTCTCAATATGTAGCTATGAAACGAAAAAGGTTCTTCTGGGGAAATTTCCCAACAGCAAGCATTGTGGAGGGCGACAGTGACGGCATTGACCTACAGTATTTCCTTAAGCCGTACAGAGAAGCAACTGTTCATCGTTTGCCAACTCTAACAACAAATTCCCACTCTCAGAGAAGTGGTAAGATAAAGACACTTTTGTCTTGATGTGAGCTCCAAACCGATACTCTCTAAAAGCTTCTTTCCCTACCAGGAAGACAACAAGATCTTCCAGTGACAGAAGAGGGCGTTCCATCACATCTGTACATTACAGAACATGAAGAGCTCTTCGGTTTTCCTGCACATTACACTGATGGACCTAATCTATCTGTAACAGATAGGAGAAAGCTTCTTGGCAAAGCTTGGTGTGTACCGGTTGTTGTTGATCTTTTGAATTTTTTGTGTTTTAAATTCAAGACCAAACACAAGCCTAAAGAACACACAAGTGCTACCTAATAAGTATGTTTCAGAATGCCTTATGCTCTTTAATTCTCATTGTTTATTGTAATCAATCATAACTGCAACATTTTTATTTTTGAAATACCTCACGCTCCCTTTTTAAAGAAGCAGTGAAATAACAGGAAATGAAAAAAATAAGGAACATACTGTATGTCTGTAAATGAATAGTGACCTGCAAAGAAAGGAAAATTATTTAGAGTGATAAATTGTACAGCTCATATTTTGGGTAACTTGACTGTCATCTTACATATTTCAAATTGTCGGCAGTATGGATTGAGAATGAATCATGAGGCTCGTGCAGTCACAGAGAACGCCAAGTGGACTCTTTTTTTCTTTCTGAAAGCAGAGTGAGTGGAAAGGAACAGCTTACTGAATTGCTTGTGTAACAGTGAATAGATTTTTGCCCTGCATTGATATGTTTTGTGGCTAAGACAAAGGCAACAAGGAGCAACCGCAAATAAAAAGCTTCACAATTTGTGTGTGGAATATTATTTTCAAAGGAATGATGACCTCTCTCTCAGCTTAACACAGAATGACCAGTCTTAAGAATAAATGTGCAAAAGAGCACTTAACAATAGTAACACAATAATAAAATAACTTTCTTTGTATTAAAACAAAATACTTTGATCTACCTACAACCTAGAACACAACCAACAGTAGGAACACAGCATATGCACATAGCACAAATATATAAATAAATATATATATAAACCGGCAAGGTTGTGATATGCAACTTGCACTAAGAAATAATTCAGTCAAGAAGAAAATTAAAAGATAAAAAGTCTCAAAACTTAGACTAAGCAATACTTCAGTCAAAGAGTAACTAAAAGTGTTCAAAAAAGGTCTAAAAACTTAACACTATGGCTTTTGGCAGATAAACATCACATAGTCACTACACTTGCATACTTCACTCGCATTACCTCACGCATTTGCTGCATTTGGTCCAGTATACGATAAATGGGTAGTGCCTCGGTTCATCAAGTTTCAGGAAGAGGTACCGCCCAATTCTTTTGAATTCGGTGTAGCCTTCTGCTTGAAGTTGAGCCTTCTCCGCCCTGCTGTTGATCAGCTTCAGTCCATCCATTTTGATTGAAGGTATGGCTTTCCGCGTCCCCACTCCTTGAAGCTCAGCAGATGCAGGTGTCATGAACTGCAATGGGTACATTATTGTAATTAAGCAACGAACGCCTCCTATTTAAGTACATTGAGTGTCATTCATTGTTCTTACAGCTGCCCACTGGTACACTCTGTTGTCATCCTTGCAGGCAACGTATGGACGGACAGCCTGTTCATCAGTGGCGCAGGGGAAGCCTTGTTTTATATAGGCTGTCATGGCCCAGCCATGCAGATCCTTGCAGCGGTAATGGGACACTTGAACAGGTATAAGGGGAACGGCCCCCGACGCAAGGGTGTCCAAGATCTAGAAAAGAAATGTAAAGATGAACTCATCATAGCCTGTCAGCATAACAGAAAAGCACTGCTACAGTACAGCACAAATACCTCTAAGTTTTCAGCCTCCTTGTCACCATAGGTGCACCCGCACCACAGACTACCGGGTTTCGGCTTATTTTGGTTTGGAGCCATTTTAATTTCAATCAAAACAGAATCAGGAAGAGACGAAAGTTTGACAACAATAGCAGACAGCAAAAGCACAATATGGCGACAGTTGGGTACGGTCGCCGTGGTCAAACCTGGTCAGACACAGTCACACCAAAATGAAAGAACCAAGACATTGTACCGAAAATTGAGTTGTTGACAGATGTTTGCTAACTCCTGAGTTAATTTTGAACGTAAGGACGTAACGTAAGAGACATATTGTCGATCACCCGCGAATGCAGCGCAACAAACCCTGGCCGCAGGGGACACTTGTCACTGCCACCTGTGGAGTTCCTTTGTCTCTCTGGACGGGCAGCCTACACAACATCATTTTGGCGCGCTCAACACTTTCTTTGTTGACACACAGAAACTTTTAACTATGTTACAGTATTTCAGTTGCTTTGCGGTTATATTTGTTACTCCTCTCGGGCGACGAACGTACTGAGGTTTGTTTTCACAATCACATAGCCCCCAGTGCGCTAAAAATCTGCTCTCTGTGGCCTTATAGACCGGGTGCGCGCCCGGCCAACTCGTTCCGCTCCAATATCGGTTGATTACCACTGATTTTCATGTCACACTTTAGTTTAAGAATAAATCCAAGCCCCTTTTCGGCCAATTTTTATCATTAATAAGACACCCATATTAGGGGGAAACGAGTTGGACGGGCGCGTTTCAGGTCATTCATTTCAGGTTATGTTTATTTATGATTTTCATACATACTTGTTGCAGCAGTTTCGGTCTTTCTTGGTTTTCAGGGCTCACTATAACATGAACTGAGACCCAAAATAAGGGACTCCATCTCTCAATACTTTTTTAGTTTTTGATGTTGACGTTCCAAAGTAATTCCTTTCAAATTTTCCACACAAAGACCCGGAAACTTTGCTCAAGCTGTAAGTAGCTTCTAAACAGAGGTCCTATGTGTTTTGCTATTCCAACACTTTCTGGCCTCTCAATGCAACAGCAAATCAGTGCACATTATTATTCGTATTAACCTTATTTTTGTCAGGAAATATGCCGTTGGTGGTGTTTGTCACAGCATGGGATCGGAGGGGGAGTTCCTATGTGATAGGTGATACTATATCGGAAATAATTAAATCAGCTAAAGACACCTTGAAAGTGACTGAAGATTGCAAGGTCGTTACAATATAAGCCAAGTACCTACAATCAACAAAAGCATGTACTAATTACATCTATTCTGTTTGTTTTAGTTGTACCTGGACTCTACTGGTTTCGATGCAGGTGCAGAAATGAGCATTGATGCCATTTTCACGACATTGATCAGTGATGCAAAGGCAGGCGGCCAGAAAATTGCATTTTTCATTGCACCCGAAGGAGAGAAGAATACATATCTGTCAGGTTTGTGATCTCATGTGTCAATATTGCTTTTTTTATTGCACCCGAAAAACAAAAAAGTACATGTGTCAGGTGTGTGACTTCATGTGTTCCTGAGCAGAAACTACTGTGAAATATATTGCCAGCTGTGACTGTGCTAGTTAACTCCCAATTTTTTCCTGTGTTTGAAGTGCAAACAACTCCTCGTACCCCACTGGCAGAGAACACCATACGCAGTGAGAATCAACCACCAGCAACTCCCACTTCAAGGCCAGCAGGTCTGTAAATGTGCATGAAATGTCTGTCTCTTACCTTTGAACCTATTTCATTATTTGTTTATTTTAATTTTGCAGCTGAGAGGCACATCACAAGGTACCCAGTGCTGCCTATGGACATAGTGAGGAAGACACTGAAGGGCCTGAAGCAGCAAATTGATGAGGCGTCAAGTTTCTCCTGCTTGAGCCTTGTCAAGGCCAGAGACAAAGCGGCTAAGACCATCAGTGCCGAGGTTGTGAGGCACATTCTTCACTGCTGCCCAAATGACTTTAGCAGGAGCACAGTGAGATTCTATGGTGGAGTTGTCTTAAACTCAGACGAAGGAATTTACAGGGATGTATTTGCCCAATTTGTGGGGAACGAGAAGATGAGTGATGGAGAGGAATGGTTTCTGTCGAAGATTTACCAGGGTTTGCAGTACAAGAAGCCAGCAGAACAAAAGAAGAAGAAAAGGGCCCGTGATGATAGTACTGAAGATGCTGCTCGTTCCCTCACAAGATGCCTGGGTAAGAATTATGGATGCACGAATTACGCCCCCTCCCTTCCTTCTGGTGAGACAGTGGAGAGCCAGACTGCTAAGAGAGAGGCCCTGAAAGCTCTGCACGTGAACCAGGACTGGGGCCAGGCTGCAGAGATAGCATTCAGGGACACTTTCTCCACTCAAAGGCACGACATACTTGGAACCAGGCCTTTCTCTGCATTGGGTACAGAGTTTATTAGCCAATGGCCAATCTTCACAAACGGTGAGTTTACTGCAAACTAAATCTATGTTGTTTCTTGTCTCGATAGTTACTTTTTTTTTTCCTTTTTAGGGAAGTTCCTCTTAATACATTCAGAGTTACTGACAGGGGTCACAGTGACTCACTTCCACAACAGGCTGGGTGACCGAACACCTGATATTGTGAAGTATATGAAGCGCTTTTGGGCAGATCAGGAGGCTGTCATAAAGGGTGCCCGGAGCAAGCTCTCAGCTCAGGCATCCTCTATGCTGAAACTACTCAGAGAGATGGAGGAGGCATGCACTGCTGGGAGGCGCCGCTCCCATCAGTGCGCTGCTGTGTTTCCTCTCATTTGTGCCTACATGACGGAGAAATTCTCAGCAATGGTAGTTACTGCACCTGTAAGTACATTGAAGCAGGTACAGCATTCAATTGAGTCAGCCTCTCTGCAATGCTTGACTTTTTTTCATCTTTCAGATCCAGGCATCTGAAGAGGAGTGCAAGTCAGCAGTGGAAGTCGGACATGGCAATCCGATTATTCTCTTGCAAGGTACTTTCTTTCAGAAAAGGACTGTTCGTACTTTGTCCACTTATAAGTTACTTTTATGTTAAATTTGTTCTCAGGTGATGGCATTTTTGACAGCAGTGCTGTGTGCAGTGTCTTCTTATTTGATACTGTTCAAATAAAGGCGAACAACTTCAGTGAAGCTGTCCAGATATGGTTCATGGCTTTCTATGTCTTCAATTTTTGTTACACCAAAGAGTTGCAACATACTCTCGAGTTCATACAAAGGTGAGGCAGCATACTTCATTTCAGTTTTCCATGTTGGATGTTTCCATGTTGGGTCTAAAGCATAATTTAATATTTTCAGATACTTCATGGGCATTAATCCACCAACAGGTGACAGGCGCTTGAACAGTAAGCGCTATGTTAGCACAGCGAGTAGTAAGGTTGTGAGGCTTGCGGACGAAATTGCTCTCTTCACCTCCGCATGGACTCAACACGAAGAGGAGGAAGAGGATGGTGATTTAACCTAACTTGTTAGTTTTTTGTCTTTCTGTTTATTTTTATTTTAACTGATATTTTTTATACCACTTGTGTTCATGTGTGATCCTTGTGCTTGTCCTTGCGTTAACTTTTATGAATGTGCCAATTTAGTTCAAATGTCTCTGTACCTGAGTTAACTTTACTGTTATAAGTTTACATTTTTCAGAATTGTTAGTTTTAAGTGTTACGGGTATTATGGAGCCAAATGAACTGTTTCCTAGTTTTGGTACAAAGATTCTCAAGTGTTACGGGTATTATGGAGCCAAATGAACTGTTTTCTAGTTTTTGTACAAAGATTCTCAAATGTTCCTATCATTGAAGTATGTTTAAGTTTTTGATTCACTTAATTTTGTTATTAAAACTGTTTTCTAGTTTTGGTACAAAGATTGTCAAATGTTTTCATCATTGAAGTATGTTTAAGTTTTTGATTCACTTAATTTTGTTCTATTTTTTTCCAACGTAAATTTAAGCGGGGCATACCAAATAGGGTTGTAAGTTCCTTATATTTCATTAAAACCACCTTTATTTAGAGAGAGGCTTCTTTTTTCACCTGCTACTAATTTTTATATCCACGTCATGAAAGATCATACCTATTCCATAACACTCTCATTGGAAACCACAACAACTGTGTAAGGAATTCTAACAACATGCTTGTGAAAAGTTATAACAGCTTCATAACACTGTGAGGAAGAATCATACCAATCGCGTTGTAACTTTTTACAACCTTGTTGCAAATTTTCATATCATTTTCATAACAGGCGTGTTATGAAAATTTCACAACATTTTTATAACACTGATCTGAAAATAGTTTCATAACATGTTATAACAATGTTATGAATATTTTTTAACAGTGAACCCTGTGCGTCCTCCCGTCCTCCACCCCTCTTTCTCCTTTTTAAAGCATTTTTTTTTTTAAATTTTTGGCCACCGCCTTGTACGCACCGCCGCCACAACGTTCCACCGAGTCACGCCTCGTAACTAACGGCACACCAAAAAACAGAACGACAAAAAAAAAATTATATTCAGAAAGAGAGCATTAGTCGAACTATCACCAAGCAGTCGGAATAAAAACAAATATTTATTATTTGATTTCTTTGGGTTTCCTTTTTTTCGGGGTTTCTCACATGATAGCCTCTTTTCTAGAGGACTTGCATAAAGTTTACTGCCGAAACAGAACAAAAATGTCCTCCCGACAAAGTAGAAAAAAAGGACACCAGCGCACGAGCACAGACACCTACACACACACACCACGCAGGTGTGCGTACCAGCCCGCGCGCACACGCGCGCGCGCACGCACACACACACACACACACACACACCACGTAAGAGCAAGGCTGGTCCCTGCTCATGGGAGATAGGATGTGGACGAAACCGTAGAGTATAAAACGGTAAAGTTGGAATTATGCCTCTGCGCCGGGCGGACGGGCCGGGACGGGGCGTCGGGGCGGCAGGGCGGCGCGGCCGAGGTGACAGAGACTTCCCTTCCCAGGGGCAATCCCGGCATCCTGCCGCCACCGCCATGGCGCGCCGCTGGCCCAGGACCAGGACGCGCGGGATGAGAATTATTCGCACACGCCCAGTGCGCGGGGGGCCGTCCTGGAATGACGTCATCAAGGGAAAGACACCGGACCTGGGGACATTTCGATCAGTCGGGAAAGATCTCCCATGGCGCAAGTGAGCCCAGATTGTCGAAAAGTAAATTTACGATACATTCGGATTTTTGTAATAAGATTTGCCATACTTACCTTTGTAGACTGCGACAGACTATCAATCTTTTCGGGCGATTTCAGTTTTCCCGAAGAAAAAGCTACGAATTTTTATAACGACCTTTCCACCCTGCCACTGGCAAATCCTCGTTTCGGGACGGCCCCGCCCTGCCACACCCTTGCGCGATGGCGTCAGGCGAGAGACCGCGCCGTGCAGATTGAATGGAGAGAGAGAGAGAGGAAGAAAAATTATCATCGCAGGGAAAATAATAAAGCAGGAACAGGGGGGCAAGGGAGGAGGAAGAAATTGAGTTAAAGCTGCGCGCCTAGCAGTTGGACCGGCCTGGGCGGGCTGGGCGGGCGGGTTGGCCGGGCGGGCGGCCAGGCCCCGTCGCCCCGTCCCACTTGGCACTGCCATCCACCGCCATCCTGCCGCCCCGCTGCAGGCAGAGGCAGCCAGAGCCAGCCAGTGCCGCCCAGTGCCGGCTGGATTAATCTGTCCCGAAATGAAGGCAATATCGAGTTTCCTGACATTGTAAAAAGAAATATATTCATCGTCGCGCGCTCTCTGCGGAGAGATATGAAGTGGCCGCCGCCCTGCGCCAGCCCTACGCGCCAAGCGCCCCGCCCGCCGAGCAGAGATGGCTGTGCCGCCGAACGGGGAGCCCTGCACCCCGCAAAAAAAAAACGAAAAAAACAGCAGGACATTGCTTGAGAAACAATTGGAAGAAGCTCTGATGACTTCTATACGACGAATCTAACAAAACTCACGACACAGCCAACGAATCCCTCATTTGCAATTAAAAAACCTAGTTACTTGAAGGACCACATGGCTGCCGACGTGCGCAGGAGCCTTCTGATCCACTAAAAAACCACAAGCACTGCTTGAGTTTGGCAGAAAATCAAATTGTCCACCTCGAAATTGATGTCTGCTTCGCCAGAAGTCAATCTTCTGCCCGTTTTTATCTGTAACAACTTGGAAACGGTATACTAAACCTTGTTGACAAAATGGCCCACACGGCGACGGTCCAACTTATTATCAGTGCTGCATCCATGTTTCCGCAGATCGCTGAAATAATTGTCTCGTTGGCGAGAGTTCACTGCTTTTTTTTTGGCTCGGCGGCGCGGAGGGCAGCACGAGGTATAAATCTTGGCGGTCCGTAAGTCTGACTGCCCCTGGGCACCGCAGCTCAATCGGATGTTTATCGCCGCTTCGGGAGTTTCCCCGTCCCCTCTGCTTTTTTTCTTTTCGTCCTTCCGAAATTATTGTTTATGGCTCGGTGGCGTTTCAATGTTTCAATTCGCCGCGGTGCTCTCGGCAGAGCGTCCCGCGAGTCCTTTGAGGCAGCCACATCACGCGCGCCGCCGGACGGAAGGCTTCCTGGAGAGGACTGGATTATTCCTGGAAATGAGACAAAGGAGGTGATTCCGGTCTCCGACCGAACCTCGTCGCCCACGCACTGGACCAGTTGCTAAAACGACGATAAAAGAAACAGATCAGCGAAGCAAAACAGACGAAAAAAAATTCTGCAAGATGAAGAGATACGGCAGACTTGGTTAGTCACTAGGAATCGCTTTTATTGAGCTTCTGGTTCCATCAGCACGTCAGGTGAAACCTGAACGTGCTCAACCAAACAGAGGATCGCTCCATAATTTCGCCGCGCCACGTCAACATGTCTCTCGCTCTATCCGGCCGCAGGGGAAGGCGTGAATATCGTAAACGGGAAAGTGAGGAAAAGAGATAGATACAGATCGCAGAACACATCGCAAAATCACCTCCCCCCCACTTCTCTCTCTCTCGAACGCGTCCGACGGGGTTGACGACTTGCAATATGTGAGTGCGCATGGATATGTGTGTATGTGTGTGTGTGTGAGAGAGAGAGAGAGAGAGAGAGAGAGAGAGAGAGAGAGAGAGAGAGTCGTGAGTGGGGCGCGGCGCACATCCACGTCCGCGTGTTGTACGTGTGTACCGACAAACACAAAACAAAATATTGTCGTCCCTTTGTTTTTCCCTATTGTTTTGATCGGTTGCTCAGTGACGTGGTGGGGCAGGGGCCTCCCCGTTGTCTGGGTCAGGTTCATCGCGGCGCGGCGTGGCGCGGCGTGGCATTGGACAAGCGCTGATTGATCCACTTTCACTCGCGATGCACGGCTCCGTCAGCTGTTCTTTTGTTTTGTCAAATTCAGCGGCGCAGCGGCGTGGACAGCTGGGCCACTCAGCAACGCTTTCCCCACCTGTCAGCAACGCGACTGCAACCACAAGGCTGTTTTATTTAATTTAATTTGACGTTTCTTTTATTTAAGTTTTGTTTTTAAATTTGATAAGTAAGCTGACGACTTTGCCCCCTCTTTAGTTTCCCGTCTGATTTAAAAATTGCTTCGAAATACATTGATCGGATTTAAACTTGAGAAGCACAAAACGTCAAAAAGTTCAGGAGTTTATTTTTGTATTTTCTTTTCTTAAAGAACCTTTCTTTTTCTAATCGTGTTTCCCGCATGGCTTCCAGCGCGTCCGGAGCGAGACGCGTCCCCGCCGCCCTGCGTGCAAGTCTCCAGCAGAACATGGACGGGGAATGCGAGCTTCAAGGACATGGTCGCCGCCCCTAGGCGACGTCCTCCACGCGCACAGTGGGCCAGAAGACCGGTGGAGGCGGACAAAACTCCATGCGCGTTTTGAACTGCAGAGTCGCTAAATGGGACTCGAACCGAACGTGTGACCCCACCAATGGATTGCTCTCCGAACGAGGAATCCATTGGTGGGGTCACACGTTCCGTCCAAGCCCTGTTCAGCGACTCTGCAGCTGAAAACGCGACAAGAGTTTTGACCGCCTCCACCGGTCTTCTGGCCCACTGTGACGCGGCTGCCCCGCGCGAGGCGGCAGGCGAACCCCTGCGAAGCGAGGATAGGCTAGCCCGCCGCGCTCCGCTGTGTCGCGGGCCGGCCTACCCGTCAGGCGCTTCACCGCCTGCGCGCAGCGGGTTCCTCCAGCGAAAGGTACTTTAATTTAACTCTTAATTTTGAAGTTTGCAGTGCAGAGGACGGCAAAAAGAAGACCCCTGGTTTTCCAGGAAGCCTATGTTAAACACGCTTCAATTCTTGCGACCCCCTCCCCTTAACTTATTTCTATATTTCTTTTTCTTCTTCATTTTGCGGCCCTCTACTTCCTCCTACACTACAGCGTACACGTG